TTAAGTGGGAGAACTTGCACAATTGGTGACTGACTAAATACTTTTTTGCCCCACTGTATGTACCACGCTCGGGAAAAAACTGAAAGCAAAGCTTAGTGGTTCTGCTTATCTTGCCAGGGGCTGATATTTTAACTATACTGATGTAAACTAGACAAGCAACATTCCATCCACATGATTTATAAGAGAAAAGCAGACACTTACTTGTCTTTTAGCTTCTCTTAGCTTCCTTTTGAGAGCTGTCAAAATCCTTTGCACTTCCCATAATCTTTCTTCTTTGGATAAATCTTTAATCCCTACCTGAAGGTCTCGGTGCAAACAGTTCAAAAGAAACTCCTAGGTTTAAAAAACAAACACATTCCTACATATACAGGTAGTCCTCATTTAACTACCACAACTGGGACTGGCAACTTGGTCACTAAGTGGAAACTCACATGACTGCAACTGTGCTTACGATTTTATTTCACCTTCCCTTTTTCCCCACTCCCCTGCCTTTTGGAATGCTCAGCCTGTGCTGGGATAATTAGCCAGAAGGGAATTAATGTTTGTATTTACATTCATTGAAAAGGAAGGGATTACAAGAGAATAAGCAGGCATACAATGAGGAATACATATTGAAAGGAATGCTCTAGCACCAGCTGTTTGCCTAGCATGCTTGGGGCCGTGAGCATGTTAAGCAAACAGCCAGCCCTGTTCCACTCTGCAAGGGGGGAAAACCGTAAAAAAAAATGGGTCAGGCACAGGATAACCCGTACTGACTGAATGTAATGGTGAACATGTGAGTGAGAGAGAGAGACTGCAAAGGTGGTAAATGTGCATCTTGGCTGCAAAATTATTTTTTCAGCACCATCATAACTTTGAACAGTCACTGCACAAGGCAGTCAGTAACCGAGGTCTACCTATATCTCCACCAATGGAATATGCCAATTTCGGCTACCTAGTTAAATTTCCTGAAGATCATCTTCTATATACTGATAATTACTGGAGGTGCAGAAAAAGTAGCTTAGTTAATATATATCATATTTTTCATTAGAACCCAAATGTGAAAATTAGACCATTTGTTGCCGCATTGTGAGATTTGACCTCAATCTACAAAAGAATACAACTGGGGCTGAAAAATCAAGGAAAAACATGAATAAGGGAGAATTAAATTGTAAATGAGGGCAGTATGTAAGAGAAAATTATATATTTAAGCCTTAACTTAAACTGTCCAAGCTACCTGAAGCATAAGTGAATTTGTAAGAACTCCAGCTCTTCTCTTAAATCTAAAGATTGGAAGGTTGTTTTTTTCCTTCACCATCATATAATATATCTAACACTTTGCTCAATTAAAAGGGCCATAAATCAGTGATAAAAAGATTGGAAATAACAATTACTTGAATCAAGTTTTTAGACAGGGAAAGTTCTAATTATTCAAAGATGACCAACCTGTCTTCGGATCTCTTCTTTAATGCTTTCCTGTGTTTCTGGCAATGCTGGCATGGTTGCCATGTTAGACCACCGAAGAGGCTTTGTTACTGGTTTGAGGACCACATTTCCAAAGAACTCTTGTACGTGAGTGAAAAACACATAAAGGACACGGTTGCTGATCTGAGAAAACACAGTATCACTTTAGAATTATTTATCATTCACTGTCTAGATATTTGCAAAATAATAAAATATTCCTTTCTAAACACACTTAGGGTATAATATTTTAAAGATGCCAAGGCTGGGAAACACTGCTTTAGAGTATTAAAGCAACTGGATCCTTTGCAAGGCTTCCAGAGCTGATTAGAAAGCTGTCCTGCACCGCAGCCATCTTGGTGGCAGTCCCAGCAGAAATGTCTGGGTATGCACACATTATGCTCATAAGCAATAGGAGAAGGCTTTTGAAGCCATATGAGCCTTACAAAGGATATTTAACTTGTCTACCTGTATGAACAACATACAATACTATCTCCTACATGCACCTTTCCTCAGCATACTTTCTCCCATCTTGTAATGGAGATTGATGTGAAATGTCCATGCGATGTGGGAAGAGTCTGTGATATGACCAAAGATGGACTGAATGATTGTCTCTGTATAACAGCCCTTATTAATTTAGAGCAGCAATCTTCTCAACACTCCTGTTTTGTTGGGTATGTGGCTCTGAATACCAGTTGAGGAAAACTGTGCTATAGTCTCCTTAGGGTAGCATGCAAACACCATACCAATCTAAAAAAAACCCTCTCCTATCCAGCAGAATGGGGTTCTGTTTCTGCTTTTGCTTCTGTGTAGCTCACCATGTCACCCAAATTTGGAAAAACACTACTTAATATTAACTATGATTAGTCTGATTAAGCCAGGTACAAATCACTGTTAACAAAGCTGGACTGACCCAAACTAAATCTGGTTAAGTCAGTGACATGTTTCAGTTTGGCAAACTGATCTTAGTCATTGCGAAATCTTCTGTTAATCTAATGCAATCTTCTTTAAAAAGTCTGGAAGTATTATATTATATATTTATACATTAACATAACAATTGTTTTAAATATGTATTTTAACCCTTTCCCAACCATAACATATTCCAATGATCCTTAGCTATCTTCTATCAGGAATTTCAAAATGTAACAAAGATGGCCACAAAGGTGCTAAAAAGACCTACTATGTGTTCCTTAAATATTAGCAACCTTGTTAACAAGTTGTCACATTAACATCTGGAAAAACTCCAAATTTCAAAAAGGTCTGACTTCAATTTCACAATATAGAAACTCTAGCTAAATAACCAGATTAAAGAGCTTATGACCACATTACATTCATTTAAGGTGACCCTGTAAAAAACGAAGGTGGAGTAGGGTGTAAGTGCAGAGCAAAGGCATGAACAATTTAACTAATCCTGACATGTAGAAGACCACACCACTAATGAGTCATATTAAAGAAATACAATACCTAGACTCCAGTTCTGATCCAGGTATAATTTAAATTCTTGGGCATCATGGAATATATTTAAATAAAATTAGTGGAATATCACTTTCAAATTATTTGATTTTTTTATCATAATTTTTAAATTATTGACACTAATTGGATGAAACAGCTATTTAATTTAAAAGATACTGTAGAGACTCTCCTGACTGGTCTGACAACATTAGTAATAAGTAATAAAATACAAGTAGGTTATTATTGCTGCAACTGCTCACTTAGGCCAAGGGCTTGGCCCTACGTAACACAAGAACAGGATCTGCTTAGCTGCAATAACTACAGTAAAACATCAGCACATATAACCCCATTATACTGTAGATGGTCCTTTTGTTTACTCATGCAGATTTTCTCTTTAATTCAAAAGTTTTAAATTACTCTTATTCTTTTATTGGAATCTCTGGCATGTTCAATTTCAGGAATAGGTTTGAACAATGTGACAATAAATGTTACCAAAAAATTACAGAAACAAGTTTTTAAATTTTCCAACTTCCTTGTTTTTCAACTCATGATTTATTGCATCAAGATTAGCTTGTTAAAACCTGTGGATATCTTTATATCTAAGAATATAATCTTACAAATAATAAAAAAGCATATTTTCAGGGGCACTTGGAACTGCCACTAATCACCTTCTCTTCAAATTCCCTTTTTATATATAATTTTTATTAGAGATTTAAACATAAATAAAAGATAAACATATAAAGAAAAATTAAGAAATAGAAAAAAGAAAAACTGCAGGAAACAATACAGATAGAAAAAGAAAAAGAAATATAAAGAAGCGACTTCCAATCTTCTTTACAGCAGTTACAAACAACCTTCCTCCCTCTTTAAGATTACATTACATGAACCCCTTCTTCAACCCTTTTTAATCAGCAGATCCATAAATCATCTTCTCCTCAAATTCCTGCACAAAGAGATACTACCTTTTATACTAATGCTGAACTCTTTCATGCCAACCTGAGTCCAGGTAGGATATGAAATGGCTGCCACTGAATTAAATTTTCACTTGTTAAGCAATGATTTCTATTATCTTACCTTACCTTAAATGAAGTACTAATTAAAGATGGATGAACCATAATATCTGAATTCAATTAATAGCTTGTTTCATTAACCCATATAAAACTTGCCATATTCCAATACTTCCTATATGGTACCTTGTTGGTACTAATCACCTAACACATAATGCATCTAGCTCATAAAAGAAACCATTTAATTAAGGATGTTTAAAAGTTGATCTTCTGCTTTTGAATACTATATCCAGTCCAATATGGGTTTGGTGCTAAAGACATCTGATCATACTCCAAAATGCCTCACTCACTTGCTAAGTTCCATTTGGAGCATGTGCTCTGTAAGTATATTTCAGAAGTGAGAATACTTCAGAGAGCAGCACACAAGTTTGGATTATCAGAAGCTAGGACAGTACTGAAATTTGTTTTGTGGGTTCTACCAACTCTTCCACTGATAGGCCTATTATTCATTACATGTACATTTCCTCTACAAGGGAAACGTACATGACCATATGTAGAACAAGTAAGGTGACTTCCAGAAATACAGTTAGAAACAGTTTTAAATAACAGCTGGCTGGCACACATACCTGGACAGTTGGGCTGAGCACTATGGAAATGTTCTGGATGTTCATTTTTGTTTCTAACTCCTTTGCAATGACATGGTCCATGTGCACAATCAGCCAGGAAATCAAGAGAAAGTTACATTCTGGTAGCTCTTTCAGGAGGCGCTGGCACTCCTGCCGTTTCTCGGCCTCCAAGCTCTTCCCACAAGCATCTTCAAAGCGAGGCATCAGCTCTTTGGTTAGCAGGTTTTCAGGAAGTTCACGCAGGTACTGTTTCAACAAGCTAGCTACTGTGTTGGGCTCATAGTCCTCTAGGTTGGGGGATTCTTCTCGGTCATACGCCGCTTTTAGCTCATCCACCTTTGATTTAATTCCTTAAAAAACATTTAGAATGATTTTTAAATCCTTTGAGAATAGAAATGAATTATAGTTACAATATTTTTCTGTCATCTCAACAAACAGTATCACTTGCTTGTTACATTTCACCTTTCTTCTAAGAGCTCCAAAGAATTCACATGGTGTGTCCTCTAATGTTCTCATCACAGTAACAATCTATGACATGGGCTGAGATGAGAGAGAACGACTGGACAAGAATCTATCCCTAAGTGATTAGATGGGAATTTGAAGCTGGCTATTCCTTCTCAAAGGTTCTAGACTCTTAGCAGTCCACTAACTTAGCAGTTATTCTATCCACAAAAGAGAGCAAAATATTGGTGACAGCCTTATGAAAGGCAAATAATTGTAAAACCAACCTATATCCTACCAAAATTCAGAGAAACACGCTTAATCAGAAATACTACTTCGCTTATATGAATCTATCTTTAGTTACTATTAAAAGCTCTTCTAGTCTTCCTGAAAAATACTCCACATTGGTTTTCCATCCTATCGTCCTTCTGCAAATTAACAAATTACTAATGGTACACAGGGCAAATAAAAGTGTGCAATGGAAGAAAGATCTGGCCATCTCTCATTGACAAAAGAGGCAGCAGGAAAATAGAGAGAGACAGGATGATAATTTATAGACTTAGGAATTCTCTCCATTCCTTTAGATTAGAAACTATGCCTAAAAATATTCTCTACACATATCAAATTATCAAAGGAGGGAGTCTCTTCCTCTATGACCAGCATAATATGGTAGGCTAGCAGAGAGGGAACAAATCACTCTAATCCTTCTCAAAGGTTCTAGACTCTTAGCAGTCCACTAACTTTTATGGATTTACCTGAGAGGTTATTATAATCAAACAAATTGGCTTCCTTGTGTTACCTGAACTTCTGCTTATGCACTTCCTGATTAGCTGTTACTAAGAGAAGCATGCTTTCTGCTCTGCTCATGCACCATATAAACTGCTATCCTAAAAGCAAAAGACAGGCTCCGCCCCCCCGCCCAGCAACCATTCCTATCCTTCTGCTGAGCGCTGGGATACACAGTGCCACAGAGGTAGGGGCTTTCATATTTATGGAACTCTAGTGTCAAAGCTGTGAATATAAGATACTGTACTTGCAAAATATTTATTTTCTGTGCAGTTTTGTCTTTAATCTCTGCTTCTGAATTTGCATTCCTTGTCAAAACAGTCTGTGCATTACATGAATATTGCGGGTATCATGTTTCTCACAGGTGGCATTCACAATTTAAAGTAAGCTGTATACTTAAATAAATGACTCAAATCATTGTTAATTTTACGTGGGTCAAAGTTATACAAGTACTATGAATGCTAATTATCTTGGCATTACTACCAGGATGCTGTCTTCAGAACTAAGCTAAAAATTTTAACTGCTGCTTGGCACTGTATTTGAGGATACCTACTAATGAGAACTTGGTATTTAAATTCCTTTTGGAAGAAAATAAAAATGAAAGCGTGGGAAGAAGAAACAAATTAATGTGTGTTCCCTACTTGCTGCACTTTTTGACAAATCACTACTTATTAGCACTGTACCTTCTTATTCAACGTAAATAAAAATATTTTTTATTTAGTCAATTTATATGGCTGCCCATATCAATAAATAACTTTGGACAGCTAAAAATATTAAACAAAAATAAAAAAACAGATACATATATGAAAATTAAAAAAAAATACAACAGCCAAGAAAAATCAGAACAAGCATTAGCATAGCCAGACGGGCTCCTTCACACACTTGGGGGCCCCAGGCAAGTAGCAGCATGGATAGGACCTAGCAGACATAAGATGCAAATCTTATATAAAAACATAGGAAGCTTCTTATATACATTTATACTGTTGGCCTTTATACTGGTTTGCATGGAACTTTCTGAATGGAAAACACATGCGTTATAATTGAGCTACAGTCCCTCTTCATGAACTACCGATAATAATAATTGCTATACTAACTCTGAACTATTTACACCAACACAGTCCTACTGACATCTGGAGCAAAGGGACCAATGCAGCTGCAAAGTGCTCTGTGCCAATTTAAAAGTCTGAACTGCATTTATCAAGGAGGTGGCAGATGGCAAAGGATGCTGTTTGGAAATCAAAAGCATCCCTGGCAATAAAGAATTTTTTACCCTCATCTGCAGGACAGTGTGTTAACCAAACTAACTTTCAAAACACATCTATTAAATAAATCACTGAAGCTTTTAAAAATATATTAACATGTCTGTGATTCTTCCAATCACATCTAAATCAGAACTAATAATAAATTCCAGATGTTAACCCCTTTTGATTTTAGGGAAGCATTCTGAAGGCAGAAATATTATTGAATTTTAAAAATCTTGAGGCAGTAAAACCTCATCAGGCACATGAAATCTACCTTCAGGTGAGCCACTGTACCTGAAACTCTGTAGATGCCTTCGCATTTCATGCCGTATTTCTCTACATAATCTATACATTCCCGGAAAACTGCTGGTAGGCGGATGCCATCGTACAACATGGTCCTCTCTGCTGCATCGCTCAAAGGGACTCCGAACACAGGCCTGTGCCTAGGAACATCCACCGGTGGCATTTCCATCTCCTGAACTGTTTTCTTCTTTTTCTTCTTCTCTTTCCACTGTTTAACAACATCTGCTGCTGTCAAGTCTTTTGATTTCTTCTCTTTATGCTTCTCTTCCTTGTGCTTGTCATCTTTATGCTTGTCATCTTTGGGTTTTTCTTTTATCTTAAAGTCCTTTTCCTTCTTTTTGGAGAAACTTGGCTTCTTAAAAACATGAATCCCTTTAGAGCGTTTTAGCTTGGAAGGACTTTCAGCTTCATCCCCCGAGCTATCTTCCTGAAAAGCTGCATAACCTTCGGCTGTTGGGAGAAAAAGGAAGAACAGAAATAAAATCAAATGTTTAATCTGTGTATAAGAAAAAAGCTAGCGCTGAACTCTAATGTGCTATTAATCAAAACACACACTTGGTTTTGCAGAACTAAACAGGCCAAACATTCAGCCAAGCTTTGCAGGACATATTTTCCTTCCTTAGAACAATCAGATCAATTCATCTGTTGATTATTTACTGACTACTACATATGAAGTTTTATTGCTATGTGCAGTCTGAATTCATTACAAGTTGCAATGCAACTGTCTACATGATTCTTCTGAAAACATCCCACTGGGTCTAATGGGATTAGGCTAAGAACTATAACTTTATCACAGAACAAAATCTTATACCAAAGTGAATACAGAACTGATGTATAGAGTGATGACCAGTATAAATGGCACATAATCTCCGCAGTTTAAAACCTTAAAAAGACAATGCCAAGATTATTTTTCTGCTCTTAGTTAATTTCAAAAATCAGGGAATGGAAAAAATAGTTAAAAAAAAAACCCTGTGTCCCTACAGTAATTAATTGTCATGAACCTAAATCAGTACTTTAAAAGCACATTTAAAAACAGTTGGTGTAAATGGCAAAGAATATAATCCCAACCTAACTCATCCAATCACTTAATTTTTCTTTCTTTTTCAAAACCCTAAACCAGATATTCTAGAATACAGGTGTATCAATGTGCTTAGCCCCATTCTCTAAAAAGAAAGAAAACTTACTCTTCAATTCAGTTGGCAAAGTCATCCCAAGCATCTTGTCTCTTTTAAACTACTCCCGCTCAAGTGGGTTATACAACTGCACATGTGATTTCAATTCCACAGCCATAAGACAAACTTAGCTCTTACTGCGAATTACCAAGTTCTTTAGAGCCTTTGAAATACATGCATAGGCATCTAATAAGCTACACCTCTTCTATAACTAGCCCTGCCTAGCCTGTAGGTAGGAATAGGAAAATCAGTTTTAAACAAATAAACACACCTATAATCAATTGCAACACCAATACTATGATATAAGGAAAGATCAAGGAAAAGCCTGAATGCAATTAAAGTTTTCAGGTAGCAAAACATGATGAGAATAATTAGAGTGCCAGTGGAATTTCCAATACAGTTGTTGTACAGTGAAACCTCAATTTAGCGGACTAATCAGGGGAAGAGGGGTCCGTTATTCCTGAGTGGCATTAACTCAGACAGCATGTCAGTGTGGTGATTTATATTATCTGAATGATTATATCATTGCACAAATTAGTTAGATCACCAGGGTAAGTTAGTCTCTTGTATGTGAAATATGTTGTACCAAAGTCTACTAAATCATGGCTTTGCTGTAGTCCTAAACCTTGAGTAATAACTGTATATATCCTATAGAGATGGTCCAGCCTAGAAATAAGACCTGAGTGCATGACTGAGAAGTGATACCACTGTTCAGAAAGCACAACTGGATGAAAATAAAAATTATGATTTTTAAACACATACAGATTTTCAAACTGTTGTGCCAGGATCCTGCTAACGCTGTAGTCCTTCACAGATAAGCTTGGGAACTACTTCCAATTGTCTTCTACTTCAGTTCAATCCAACCCATAATTCACAAATATTTTGTCCCCTTCATATGGATCCACTAAGCTTGCTTCTGGCTACCAAATATTCTCCTACAGCAGGACCCTCCAGAAATTCTTGGACTACAAACTCTTGGAATCTTTTACTATTGATTGTGTTCTCCAAGACTGATGAAAATAATACTCTTCTATAAATTTAAAAGTTCAGCTCCAACATAAATTCCAACCCTCCATCCAAGCTGATCAGCTGTTTTCACCTGGACCTTCTTTCTTATTTATTTATTTGAATATATTAGCTGCCCAACTACAATAGACTTTAGATATAAAGTGTGAACCCAAAAGTGGTAACAACAACCAAAAAAAAGGACAACCTCAGGATGCAGTATTAAATTTCTCTAAAAGTAAGCTCTGCTGATTATTAGTTCCAAATAAAGATCCACTCAATTGTTCTCTACATATCTCAAATTCTGCATATTTCTTATATTACATTTTCAGAAACCAGAATAAAAATACTTTTAAGAATTAAAAAATATTTTTCATTGTTTTAATATTCAAAGTTGTTTTCATACTTAAGAAAATACTAACAATGTACTGCTCATTAATAAAAGTGATATTGCACTGTAGCCAGGTAAAGGTTATCAGAATATCTGGTTCTTTGGTATGTATAAAACTAACCATTATCATAAAAAGGAAAGATAGATATTACTTTGAAAGTGAACAGGACATCACATTACTATTCCCACATGGAAATACTTTTATAGTCTTCATTTAGAAGTAATTAAAGCTTTTCCATTTTACAGACATTTAGAGTTTGACAGCTGAATGATGGGGCTTCTCATGATTAAAAAAAACTCATCAAAAGATATGTTATGAATTTCATCATGCCTCAAAGAGCAGCTGGTTATTTTAAAATATGGACGTCATCAACATTCAAACCAAAGTAATAAATAAAGAATAAAGAACATCTGACAAAGAAACTGGGTCATGAAAAAAGACAATCAACATACACTGGTAGCATACAGTTTTTCTTAAAGTGACCTACTTCTTTTCTCCTTTTTCTTAAATTTTCCTTTCTTCTTCCCATGTTCTTTCTCATCATCAGATACAATATCAGGAGGTTCATGGAGGCTGTCATGAGGTGGTGAAGGCTCACCCGTGCGATATAAGCCAGGGAATTTGGTTGGGCTGATTTCTTCAGAGCTTGGGGTCCTGGCAAGACTTCCACCATGCTCTACCCTGCGGTGTTCGCTGGGACTGCTTGTGGGAGGCAGGAAGCACTCTGTCATTCTTACTCACTGGCACCACAGCAGAACAATATCCTGTTACCTGTCCATTACTCCTGCAACAAGAACACAAGCTGAAACCCCAAAAATATTCTCAAGGACAAATAGATGTTTTCAATGCTACACGGGACAACAGACTCATGGTAGTACTTGCATCGAGCAGCAAATTTAGACAATTGTAATTTAACTACCATCCCAAGCAACAGAATTTAAATTTGTAGAATGCAGGTTTATATAACATCCTGACTGGTGTAAGTGCTGTAATATTTTCTTTCCATGTTTTGGAGTTTGACATAGATTTGTTCCTTGTACCACAACCAAAGACAAGCACAAGCCTGAGCTAGCAACACATGGTCATGATGGAAAGCCATAAAGTAGCCTTGCTTTGCTGTGGGATTACCATAATCAGAAGGATTTCCTGCTGGGAACAGAACCAGTTTGAGATTTGTTCAAAAATGAGCAGGAAGTCCAACTACTTTTTTTTTTCACTACTTTTTATTTATTATATCAGGAAGACACATCTGGGAAAACAACTTACAGGCATTGGCTCATAAATTTAATTGCCTCCTGGCAGATTCTCAGGATTAATTAATCCATGGAAATTCTCAGTTTATGTAATACACTAAACCTAATCAACAGCTTTAATCAGGAAAGAAAAGTATAATGGCACTCATGATGAAACTGATAGGATAAATATGTTAAGGTTGTCTTTACTGTACTTACTACAATCCAAATATACCCTTCCACCATTTCACAAGCATTTTACTCTTTTCCAGGCAATCCCCTTGTGTTAATTTCACTAAGCAGTCTTGAAATTAAAGACCTTTTAACACAGAGCTATTATTTAGGCTAATAACAAGATGTTATGTTGGGGATGGGGTAATTCTACAGTTCCTCTGCATAAGTAGATAGGCAATTAATGGGCACAAATTCCCAAATATAATCATCCTTCCCTCTACCCTCCAAAATACCATCATCTAGTTCTCCAAATTGTTTCCACAATCAAAACAATAAGCCAGATCCACCTTGGTCCTGCTCTGAACAGAATCCAGCAAAGATGCCAGAACTGGGATCCAGCAAAGGTTGGAAAGAGTGACCAAGGAGAATTTCTTGATAGTTCTCCATCCCTTGTATTGCCTTGCTGCACTATAAAGTTTCCCAGCCCTCCACAGCAGTTTTTCAGAAGGTATGGGCAGCTGCAAGAGAAAACATGAAGACTTGCCTCTTTACCTTATCGCTACTCTGGATTTAAGCCACTGGTAAAATCCAGGAACAAACATTAACTTAAAGAATAACATTTCAACATCAATAACATTTCATTGGTATGATAAGTAGCAGAGGTGCTTCCAAAGCGTTTTCAGTGGTCATACCTTAGCTGGAATCTGAATTGGATGAATACTTGTATACAGAAAGTTAAATGAATGAATGAATGAATGAATGAATGAATGAATGAATGAAATCCAATATTCCCAAATAAAATTGATGCCAGGTATCTAAAAACACTACAAAATGCAGTGCAGCACTACACCAAATATAGTAGGCAGCAACTGCTTCTGAAAGCAGATCCATGCCATCTACTTGAGAAAATGTATCCTCAACATACATTTAACGTTTGTGTAAATGCTCCACTGGTACTTTAAAATGTATTTTGAATGTGCATTATTGGGGGCTGCCTTTAGCAAACCTGCAAAGCAGAGTAAAAAAGCTTACATCAGATAAATAATTCCCACACAATGACATCCCGGCAAATTAGCAACGGTGCACATTAGGCAGTCAAAATCCTGGCCACATTTATCCTCCCAGTTTCCTCTTTTTGCAGGTAGGACTTATATATATGGAACAGAAAACTGAAATTCAGTGCAACTATTGCAACTGGCAGAAGACAGAACATCTGTCTATTTAGAGGCATCTTTCAAAATGTCTGCTAAAGTTTTAAAGCCAAAAATAATCTCAGCAGATGCTCAAGAATCTTTTTCACTATCTTTTCTAGGGAGTTTAAAGATTGTCCTATGCTGCAATGCATCCTTTCCCTTCATGTCAATTTTAAGGTGTGTGTGTGGGGGGGGGGGAGGTTCACTAAGCAGTATAATAAGATGCAATGATAATGTAGATCTTTACGTTTCAGGCTGTTTACTTCAAGTGCAGAATATGATGTTTATTTTAGGGCAAACTATGACTTACATAGGAAGCTCATCTTTTGATTATAATTAATTTAAATCCATGCAAGCCAGTCTGAAAACAAAGTAGACTTTTTAACTGAAAGAATAAAATGTCTCAAGTGTACACTGTGTGCTGGTAGAACAAGTTTTCATTTCAAAAACCAGCATCATGGGATAAAGATTATCAGGGCAATTCATTGTTCCCACATGAATCACTCTACAATTACTATTAGCAAAAGGATCTCTAATGAAGTTTCACAGGAAAACACATGATGCAAGAGGTATCTCTATACTCCCCTTACCTTCAGGGCTAGTGACAGCTTGTTAGAGAAATTCAGATCGGGAAAAAGTGTGAAGTAAATGTATTCATCTTTCCCTCCACTGGCACTACTATTCCAACCTATTCTGAAGATCTGTGTGGCTATTTTAAAATGAAATAAACAAAAACAGGAGGTCAATTCCAAATGCTCCTGTATTTTATGCAGTCTGAAAGGTGTCTGCATTTCCAATCCTGTCAGGTTGGACAGGTTGCCAGACCCTCTGTTACTTCTAAGGTAGATGCACCGCCACCACATGTCTTCATCATTACTAAACCTCAGCTGGACAACCCAAGAATCCATGCCTAGAGTTACTTGCCTAGAGCAGAGATTTTCCACACCTTTCCTTTTCTCTCTTTAAGATCTGGGTTAGCATGTTCCCCCAGTAGCACGGCACATGGAGTAGAGTCCCAGGACAGGCAAAAATGCTAAGATCAATTCCTGCTGAGTAAACACAACTCTAGGTGGCTCATAACAATAATAAAAACCAAAAACATGGAGCCTCAACCAACAGGTTCCTATCCATCTAACAGCACAATCCCCAGAATTCAACCTCACCCTATTCCAACACTCGGGGGGGAAAACCAGCTCTTTATGGCTTTCCAAAAGGCTAAAATGGTGGGGGCCTGCCAGATCCTAGGGGTGTTCCACAGGGCAGGGGCTGTTATGGAAATGGCACACTTCCTAAGTCGCACTGGATGGCAACACTTAAGGGATGGGACCTGGAGCATGCCCACCCTCTAGTCTGGTGGGGAACAGGCAGATACCTCAGAGAGAGATGGTCCCACAAATAACCTGGCCCTGTGCCACGTAAGACTTTAAAAGTGAGACCAGCACCTTGAACTGCACCTGGAAAGAAACTGGGAGCCAGTGCAGATCATACAACAGCAGTGTGATATAGGCAAACCAAGGGACACCCAAAAACCCACACACCACCACATTCTGGACCAGATGTAAGTTCTGGGTGGTTTCCAAGGGCAGCCCCATGTAGAGTACATTGCAGTAGTCCAACTGGGAAGTGACAATGGTATAAGTGACCTCCTGATCCAGGAATGGGGGCAAATCCAGGAGGATCCCCAAATTGTACACCAGCTATCTGGGAAATGGTACCTCATCAAGAGGCACAGATAACACATCACCAGATGGGAGGGGGCAAAAACCCAACAACCCTGGGGTTGAGTTGGAGCCAGTTCCTCCTGGCACTGGTTCAGCACTGAAATAGCATCACCTGACTGGCTAGGGTGGAGATGTATAACTGGGTATCATCAGCATACTGATGATACTGCGTGTCATCAAATGACCTCACCCAGCAATTTCATGTAGATTTTAAAGAGGAATGGTGAGAGATCCAAACCCTGAGGCATCCCACATCACAGGAACCTAGGGCTAGACCTCTCCCCTAAACACCAAATGAAACTGGCCACAAAGGAAGGAGGCGAACCACTGCAAAACAGTGCCTCCCAGTCCCTGAAGCTGGTCCAGAAGGATACTATTTCAATCGTATCAAAAGCCACCAAGAGAACCAGGAGGGTCAGGACAGTTGCACCACCTCTATCTCGATCCCTCCAGAGGATATCCACAAGTGTGACCAATGCCATCTGCATACTGTAGCCCGGCCTAAACCCAGACTGGAAAGGGTCCAGATTATCTGCTTCATATAAGACCTTCAGCAGTTGAGAGGCAGCCACCTTCTTAACAACCTTCCCTAAAAAAGGGAAGGTTGGAGACTGGAAGAAAGTCTGCTGGATCCAAAGATGATCTTTGGAAAAAGGGATGTACTAGCGCCTACTTCAAGATAGGCAGTACAACCCCTTCCCTCAAAGAGGCATCAACCATCCCTTGGACCCAATCACATGACACCTCCTGGAAGGCCTTGATCAACCAGGAGGCGCATGGGTCCTTGATACAGGTGGCCAAGCTCACTGCTATGAGGACTCTGTTCCTATGTTAAAGCACTGCAAGATTTAACACATCTATTTTATATTCTAAAAATCCTCCAAACACTAAAAAAACAAATACACTTCCAGACTGAACATATTTTGCCCAAGTCTGCTAAATAGAGATCCATTATATTGATGTAACAGATCCTCATTTAATGGATTTAGGAGATACAGACCAAATTTCCATCAGATATCCTCCAGAAATAACAGATAAGTCCCCTACATCTGAAGTAGTTCAGACAAGGCAGTTAAATTTGTTAATTTATCTTAATGTTATGACACTAGCAGCAATTTATGTCATTTGCATAATGACATCATTATGCCATGATGTCATTTTGCATAGTAAACTGATGCAAATTATGACATTTTTAGCAAAGTGTTGCAAAGGACATAAATCATTGCAAAGTCATATTTTAGTGTATGACTAAAGACATTTGGAAGTAATGCACACTCCTTCCCCCAAATGGTCAGATAAAAGGTTTCACTGTAGATACACACACACACACACACACACACACACACATCCCACACACAACACTTCCTCTGAGCTATTTCACATTCCCAATTTGTTATTAAACAGTTGCAGTAACACTCAAGAAGGTCACACACAATTTACTTTTCATGCAGTTTGCCAGCAAAG